GGGAGTGTGGGTGGAGGGGTCTGTAATCTCGCAGCGCCGCCCGGTGCGGCTCGGACGGGTGGGGGTGAGTGTCCGCAGGAAGGATCAGCGGACGGACAGAGGTCGTTACCTCGCACCGCGATGGGTCGATACGACACTCGGAAATCCGCGCCCGGCGGCGCAGTTAGGGTGGGAGAGAGGAAGGAATGGATGTGAAGCACGCCAACTGCGTCTGGGGTGATTGTCGGCGGCATGGCAGTTTCAATATTCTCCGAGTTTCGACATATGTGTCTTGTAACTCGGAACACTGACCCATGCTCTACGATTTCGTTATCTGTCAACACCCCTTCACATGGGCTGTTTTTGTAACAGGTATCTGTTTCATGTCTCAACTAAGTGTTTCTTCACCCTCCACACACCGTTGGCACCTCTGAAAGACACGTTTCCGGCCGCGCCCGCTACGCCCATCACCCACGGTCACCCCGTCCGTCCGCGCGCTGTCGTCCGCCGTCTCCTGTCTCTCCTGACGCACGAGGAAGTAACCCTCCCCGGTCTGTCTGCCTGCCGCTGCGGCTATTCTGGTCCGCCAGCCGGCGCCGGCAGCGACGGCTGTACGATTGCCACGGACGGCTGGAAGCGTCGCCACGGCCCCGGTGGCACAGGCTTTACGGCTACCGGGAACAGCGGAGACGGCGGGGAGGGGAGCGGAGACGGCCGAGACGTTCGAGACGATAGGAGGGAGCCGAAATGGTGGCGAGGGAGCCGAAACGATGGCGATTGGTAGACGATCTGAAATAGGATGGGCAGCGCAAGACGTGTCTTGGTTTCTGGAGACTGCGGCAAGAATAGTTGGATGTTCTTTGATTCATCTTATCTGAGTCGTGATCCAAGCTTCGGAGGCATTATCGCTGTTGTTATATATTTGCTGCCTTCCTGATGGTAGGTGCTGATAAAAAGCTCTATTTCGGTTTTGCACCATTCTATGATCATTTTCATGTTCTTCCTCTAAAGTCAGTCGCTTGCTTGTTTACAGAAACAGCCTTTTCCTTTCAGATACGCCTCGAGAGTCGAGAATAGGAATGATTTAACGAAACTTCAGTGCTTCGGCTGACGTTAATCAATGGCTCAAACTTGTAAACGGCACAAAAGACCGACAAGGAACTCGAGATAAACAATCTCCGAAGGCGGAGAACTACAGCGTTGTTGTACTAAATCGAGTTTCGAGTCATCAATACAGGCTTGCCGCCGTGTGGCCACCCACGCCCTCACTACATTAATGGCTCTCAGTCTCCCATACTTGGCTATCGCTGGCGAAAGTTGTGCGTTCCCTGACGGCGCGCGTCGCTCGTATGGTCCACCTCAGTCCGCCCACTTCTAGCGCTGTTCGGGCCGAGAGACTCGCACCGTGATGGGACACTGCCGGATGGGCATAGACCGATGGAGCTTTGGTGACAGCGACCAGCGTTAGAGGTTCGACTGCTCACCTCCCCAACCCGTCTGCGTTTCCTCCTCAGCAGTGGCCGCGGAGGGCTGCCGGCTGGTTTCTTGGCACTATGGCCGCGGGCTTCGGAGGGCTCATAAGCTCTCGGGCGGTGTTTCCCCGGTGCCTGGAGGGTTAGCTGGCTCCCGGGTGCGCGCGGGGGCTGACTGGCCCAGGCGCTCATCCGCCGGCGCGCGGAGGGCTGGCTGGCTGGCTCCCGGGCGCGCGGAGGGCTGGGACTGGCTGGCTCCCGGGCGCGCGCGGAGGCGGATGAAAATCGATGGCTGCCGTCTCTCGGGGACGGGCGGGACCGGTCGGTCGGCAGGCTCAAACAGAGCACTAAGTGGAGGCTCAGACATGGCTCAAACACGACTAAATGGAAGCTGACACATGAACACTAATGGAGGCTCAGACATGGCTCAAACACTCCACATGGCTCAGACACGACTCAAACACTACATGACTCAGACACGGCACTGATGGTGGCTCAAACAGGTCACTGAATGTAGACTGCTACGTGGCTTAGACATGGTGCTAAATGGTGTCTCAGACGCGGCACACTAAGTGGTGCTCAGACACGGTCCGAGTGAGCAACTAAATGGTGGCTTAGGCATGACTCAAACACACCATTAAATGGAGACTGATAGATTCCTCAAACGCGCCACTTAATGGAGGCTCGAGACCAGAGCTGGGCGAGTTCCTCGATTTTCGGTAGTGCGTTAGCGTTCCTGCGTTCCTCCGGCCGCGGTTAGTGCGTACCTGGAATAGCGTTCCTCAATTTTTTTTCGTTCGGTGCGTTAGCGTTCCTGCGTTCCTCCCTCAAAAATACCGCCGAACCACGCGGCGCGGGCCCAACCAAACACGGGGCGAATCGATCACAGAATACCCAGAATGGCGACGTGGGGCCGAAAAGCAACTCGACATCTCTTTTCCGAATCGAATATCTGAAATACGTTTTACCAATATCATCCGTAGGGTTTTCAACAAAAATACGACCTGCTTAAAAAAAAACAATAGTAAGTTAAAAGATGTATCTTAGTAAAAGTTATCATATTTACTTTACACATTTAATGCCTGAAACTGAATCGAATAGTAAACATCACCACTAATTTTTTTTTTACACATTTAATGCCTGAAACCGAATCGAATAGTAAACATCACCACCAAATCTAAGCAAGCCTTCCTCGATTCGACCGACAAGTGGCGCCTCTACCGGCAAACACACGTACTCGAGATTCAAAAATTTGACACAGAGGTCATTGGCAGCAATATAATTTTTCGGGTGGTTCCGCAAGAACGCAGGAACGCTTCAAAATTTCGGATGGTGCGTTCCTCTTACTTGCGTTCCTTTGAAAAATTTGCGTTCCTGCGTTCTTGCGTTCCTAAAAAGGGCGGTGCGTACGTACGGAAGAACGCAGGAACGCACTAAAGGAACGCACTTGCCCAGCTCTGCTCGAGACTTTCACTAATGGTCGCTCAGACTCCAATGTGCAACTAAATGGTGGCTCACACACGCTGTTCCGACTCGTGACTAAATGGCTGCTCAAGCATTCACACGATTATGCTGGTATGCCGGATAGCGGCGATCAGAAGTGCGACGCCGGCGAAATACGGTTTCAATGCTTTTGGAATTCAATCGTCATAGCTGGAGGTCGCGTGATACCTGTCAGGCAATGTCCACTTGTAAACTCTGTGTCCTGTTCCGTATATTTGTTCGTTATGTCGTGCTGCGTCATTGTGGTCCGTTGTTCCTGACCCCCCGTCGTGTTGACCGAATCCCGTTCGTAAGGTCACGATTACGGTATTGTTGCCGACAACTGGACCTCCCCCACCGCTCCGCTACCCACTCGGTATTGTCCCTCTCCAGTGTCGCTCATTGTGTGAACGATTGGTGCCCAAAAAGCAACGGACATAGCGGTCCAGCTGGTAAAAAAGCACTGATATCGTTTCTGTGATTGTGGGCTGGTTCGTTATATCAGGACGCACAATATCAGGCACTGAAGTCTGCATTCGCTCAGATTCTGCGTTCCTTTCGACCTACTGAAGTCTGCATTCGCATGCTGCGTGCCTCCTTCTGCGCTGCTCGGGTGAAAAAATGTGCTCTCAGGATGAGAACGATTACCAACCTCAGCGCCCATCGCCTGATTGCTTGATTAATGATGCATCAAACCAATCAGTCGGTGAGGACTGAAGGCGCTGCTGAGCCTGAAATCACCAGTTCCAAGTCGTCAGATCAGACGAAGTGGCCCGCTCGGCCGGCACTGCGGTGGCGCCGATTGTTTCTGACCTGTGGTGTCGCACGTCGCGCGCCTGCCCGGACCAATGAGGTGGTGACGAACAGGGTCCGGTCGGCAGCGGCACTCCCCGGAGGCTCGCGAGCCGACGCGGCCCGCTCCGCTCAGTGTTTACACTGGCGGCTGGCCGCTCCCGACGGAGAGGGACGCAGAACGCTCGGGCCTCGGACCGACGGACGCAGATAGACCGGACCAACGTCTGTGGTGGCTCCTCTGGCCGCTCAGTCTGTCCCGAATGGGGTCCGAACGATATACGGGCGAGGAAAGTCTTGACTGATTGTTCGGTGATCTCATATTGGTTAGTTCTAAGTTGTAACCATACACGTAATGAGTGGTTTCGTAATGTGATGTTTTTGTGTTTATTTATTGTCTGATGTGAGCGCACCGCCCGGCTCCAGTGCCATGTTTATGTCTGAGGTCGGTCGCCGCCCGTTCGCGGTCACTCACTGTGCAGTGGATCTCTGTCTGCCGGCCAGGCTGACGTCACTGGTTAAAGCGGGCCGACTGCGGCACCGCTGCGAACGTAGGGCTTTCTCGTTATTCTGCTCATGCACTCCGGTCAGAGGGCGGGACGGAGAGCAGTCGTTTCCGCCAAAACATGTTTTCTGGAATGCGCGGCGGAAGGCGCACCTGACCCGCGCGCCGCTGGCCGGTACCGTGACTCAGAGGGCTGTACTCGGCCGGTCCGGTGACGCTCCGCTGGACTCTGCCCCCAGCCACCAGGGCAACTACCCAGTTATTTAGGTGTGGGGTTGGGCCGTGCTAGCGGCTAGTCAGATGACTTTAAGGATTAATAGTTTTGCTGTGCGTTTATCCTCTGGAAGGCTGATATAATTCACCTTGCGCAATTCCAGGTGTGATATCCTTAAGCTGGTGCGTTTGTAGTTACATTGTTCCTTCCGTATTATGAGGCTGTTAAAATTCCGGTCCCGTGTCGAGCTGTTAGGCCGTGTTATTGTCATTCCGCTCCTGAAAGCACCTGTGTTCTCCGCCGGAAGTGTCTGGGCCCGGGCGGAAGGGCTCGGCATTGTGTTCCGCTCGGCGTTTGTTCGTCTGCCGTCCCCGTGACGGTCACTGACCCATGGTGTCACCACGCGGACCTTCCGCCGTCAACAGGTCAGGCTGACTGCCACACCGCGCCGCCGCGCCGGGCTATCCCCGACGTTCGTCATTGTCACCACGTGCGTCTGTGTTTCCTCCCTGACCCGTCTGAGTCGCCTCTGACCCGATCTCTGCTCTGTCCGCAGGCGGCACGCACCGAGGAGCGGCCCGCGCCCGCTCGCAAGGTCACCCAGATGGCTCACCTGTTCCAGCAGGGTCGACCAGAGCCGGTGGGCGCGCGCACACGCCAAATGTCACCGCTGAAAACGAGCCGTGATGGTGTGGAGCGCGACGTGGCCGTGGTCCGCACGGAGAGCCACGCGGCGCGCTTCAACAGTGCGCGCGCCCTCTTCGAGAGCATGGCCGAGCGACGACCGGCCGCCGGCGCCGGCGTCGAGCGACGTCAGAGCGCCAAGGGTGCCCAGGAGCGCAGCCGGTCGTCGGCGCTGGGTGGCGCCGCCTCGCGCTCAGCGTCGGCCGCTTCTCGGCTTGACCGCGTCTCTCGGTCGCCCTCGCCGCCGCCCGGAGAGCCGCGCAAGCTGAACGGTGTTGGCGCGCGCAAGGCCTCCGTGGACAGTCTGCTGGACAGTGAACCGGTGGCCGAGGCGCCGGTGCCGGCTCGCCGGCTGGCCGACCCGCTGCGCCGCGCAGAGGTGCTGGCCAGCGCCCGGTGTCCGGACGCTGCCCGGCACGACGGACCCGGCCCCGTGGACGCCAAACCCGCGGATGTCGCGGCGGCGAGAGTCAGTGCGAATCGTGTGAGTGAGAAATCGCCAGAGCCGACAGCTGCGGACTCCAAGTCGGCCAGTGTTCCTCGTGTGGACTCGACACCGGTCGACGTCCATCCCGCGCATGTGAAACCGGACGTGAAACCTGAAGACTCAAAACCTGTGCACAGTGAAAGAGTGACTCCCGATCGGACGATGGACGACGGCCGGGGGTCTGCGTCGGCGCCCGAGCGGCCGCTCAGCGCCTCCGGTCTGGACGAGGTGCCCACGCGCGGTCCCAGCTGCACCGATGACGCGTCGACGAGCCCGGCGCGCCGTCACCAGCACAGTCGCGAGCTGGTGAACCGGCAGCGTAACTGGATGGCTCACTTCACGGGGCGGCGCGCCGACCGGAGCTCTGTGTCACCGGAGGGGGACGGACTGGACGGCGGAGCTCGGACACCGCCCGCCGCGGGCACCACCGGACCAGGTGACTGGGGAGCTCAGTGAGGGTGGACTGCGTGTGATCTGGGGCTATTGTGCAGGTTTTTAGATTGCATTAGTGTGTGTTCTGAGGGATGAAGTTAGGTAGGTCGATTGCAAGCATTCTGTTTTATAGGTATGTGTTAAGTTTCTAAGTTTTATGAAAGTTCTGCACATAAGTAGTACCATAACCTATCAGAATGTCAATCATATTGTAATGAAGAAGGAAATTTTAGAATGGCTTGAATAGCTCAACACGTTTTTTTCGAAGTGGATTACAAATTACATTGACGCCACCATAAAATAGTTTCTAGAATTAATCTAAAGCTGCAATATGGTGCTTCTCCGTAGTCATAACAATCACGCCCACCGCACTGCATGAGCCGTGGTACGTCAACGAAAGCCTTTTACACCCCATGACCCGACCTCCTGGGAACCATGACAACCGGTGTTATCCGCCTCCGTAGTTTGTCTGGACTCGGGAGCTTGGAGTCTAAATGAAAACCGCCCAGCCCTAACTCCATGGCGATGTCCTAATCGGCTCATCTAAAGTGCTCCATAGAAAGTATGCCGCTGAGTGTTTTGTTCCCACTTGGAGTGTTGTCCACTAGTTGAATTGGGGTCGTAGGGACGGAACTCCGGTTCCGGAGGGATATGGTGTCTGGGTGGTTTCTTTGATTGCCGCCTGCTTGGATTAGACATCCGCCCGTTTCATGATATACGCCTGGCGGCCGGCGCTGTGCCGCTGGTCGGGCGGCGCCTCTGACTCACCAGCGTCCTGTGTTTGTTGTTGCAGCGCGTACGGCCGTGCGCCCGGCCGAGAAACCCTACGTGGACCGCAGTCACAAGCCGACGCCACAGAAGCTGGTGCAGCGACCGGTGGTGTCCCTGCCCAAGCCTCAACTGTCGCCCGTGCGCGGCTCGTCGCCGCCGGCGGGCCCCGCGTTTGTCACCCCGCCGCCGGTCGTCGCACCGTCAGCTGACACGTCACCGTCGCTGGCGTCTCCGGCGCTACCGTCTCGGACGCCGGCGGCGCCCCCAGCTCGATCCGAGCCGGCCACGCCCGCCGCGCCGGTCCCCGCCGTGCGGACGGAGGCTCCGGCGCCGCGGCCTGTGCCCGGTACCGAGCCGGTGCCGGCCGCTGAGGAGCGCGTCCAGGCCCCGGCCGCCGCGGAGCGCGTGCCGGCCTCCACCGCCGTCCACTCGGTGGAGGAGTCTGACCGGCCGGCCGTGTCACCCCGAGTGGTCCGTGGAAGCTCACCCTCAGTGCGCCAGGCCGTCGGTGAGGCAATGCTGCGGCTGGACATGGGTCCGCCTGCGCCGCCGCCCACTCCAGCACTACCCATCGCCAGCCTGGACTCCCTGGAGTCGCTGGACCGCGTACCGTCCCGGGATGTGGAACCGCCCGCGGCGAGGCCGACGGCGCTACCGGTGGCGTCCGCGCCTCCGGCGTCTGCCACCTCACCTCTGGTATCACCCAGCTCCGATCGAGTGCGCATCATCCAGGAGGAAATAATCGTGGTGGAGACGCGTAGCGGGCCGTCCTCGCCGCTGGCCAGCCCCCGGCCTCCGAGCTCGCCCAGCGGTCCGCAGCAGCGCTCCGGCAGTCTCACGGGCTCGCCGCCGGCGAGTCCGAAGAAGACGCCGCGCTCGCCCTCGCCAGTGGCTGCTCCGGCCGTCGGTGACACATCGAAACCTTCTGTGACGGTCGATAGAGAGCGACAGGAAGGCTTTGCGTCCCCGCCGGCGGCCGACCAGATGCCGGTGCCTGCAGCCACCGTCTCCCAACCACAGGACGAGGTGGTAGTCCCTCCCGAAGCTGTCTCCCGGCCGGTGGACAAGACAGCCGTCCCTCCCTCGGCCCTCCCCAGGCCAGTGGACGAAGCGCCGGTCCCTCCTGAATCTCTATCCCGGCCACTGGATGAGGCGGTGATCCCTCCCAAGGTCTTCTCCCAACCTGTGAACCAGCCATCAGTCCCCGAGAAACTCGCGGTGGATGAAGCGCCGGTGGAGGCGCGAGTGGCCGCCGCGACTGTGGAGCAGGCCCCAGCCGTCTCCCCGCTTCCCTCACGGCCGGCGGACGGGACCGGCGCCGTTTCTCCGTCCTGCTCGCCGGGTGATCGCGGGACGTTCGTGGACTCCTTTGTAGAGGAGGAGGCGGACGGCTCCCCACGTCTGGATGACGCCCTGGTCGGCTCCCCGGGCGGTGAGGAGAGCTCGGTCCGCTCGCCGCAGTCGCCCGAGCTGGCCGATCAGCTACAGGACATGCCGTACGATGACACCGTGTTCAGCGCCCAGATGGACCAGATTCAGGTGAGGAGGCCGGTGGCCGGGTGAGGGGACCGCGGGATGTATGCATCGCTTGATGCAGTGGACAATGCCTTGGAATTGTGAATTTTGGTCCTGGTCCCGGAGAATAAAATCTGTCCGGAGCACCGGCCAACTTTTAGAACACTCAACAGGAAAATCATATGTTTGGCCCAATGTGACAGTTGATAAGATGAGTGTTCTCTCAATGCTATAGTTGCATGTTTTAGGCGTAATAATAGCAGTTTTCATGACACATGCTGGAAATTTAAAAGATTTCAGGTGCCGGAGTATAAATTTGTAAAGGAGAACAAAATCGTTTGGACCCGACTGGGACCAGCAAAGGGCCTTATTTCCTACAATGGGCCAGTGCACCGCCGGGTTTACGATCAGCGGGGTGTAGGGACTGCCGGGTCATTTGCACCAGGGACCTCGGGGGTGGTTGGAGCCGTTATGGAAACCCACTGTGCGCAGGGGCTGTTAGGTGGAGTGGAGGCTGTATGCAGGGGCTCTTTGAAGTGATCGCTGGAAGTGGACTGTGGGATAACGAGGGGTCAGGGTTTTTTCGTCATATTTGCCAAGTTAGGGATAGCGAGGCGAGTTATGCGTCTTCATCCATCACAAGAGATTGATTTGAGAACCCCTAAAAGCAGTCATTGTTACTGTTTGTTCCGTCTGTGATTTTATCCAGACTCTGCTATAGGTACCGCCTTGCGTGTATATTCTCCGTTCATAGTTCTCTGTCACATTGTCATCATACAGCTCCTCTGAAAACAAGCACCCGCCGCCCGCGAGTTCCGGCCGCCACCTGCCGAATGTATGGACAGCGCCTATATCGAGACACCACAAACAGACAGCTGTTTATTTCTTCAGCTTTCGGCCCAGAAATAGACATCATGTGCCTCTGATTTTTTACCGGACTATTTCGGGCCGTGTTTGTTTGCTTATCACGGAGGTATGATCGTATTCTTGTAATGGTGCTGTCAATGAGCTCAGTATTCGACGCTAGTTTGGAAATACCTGCAACCGGAGTAGTTCTACCTATGGGAGTCGTAGTCGTAGTCGTATGCAAATCGTAGAGTAGATCCACCAGTCGTAGTCGAGTCGGAGTCGTAGTCCTCTCGTATCCGTGTATATCCGACAGTTTGTGAGCTAGTCCGAGGATCAAATCCATGCGAACTCCGACGTGTGTCCGCTAGTTCTGAATGTGTGTCCGTGCGTCCACCAGTCGTGCCCGTATCCGTTTGTCCGCCAGTTCTTACCATATCCCTGTGTCCGCCATTCTGTATACGTCTTCCCACTCTGTGTCTGTGTGTCCGTCAGTCATGTGTCCGTCAGTTCTGAGTGACTGCGTGTCCGCGTGTCTGTTAGTTCTGTGTCCTTGCGTCCGCCAGTTCGGCTCATCTGACCATGTGTCCGCTATTTCTGACCGTGGCTGTGTGTCCTTGTGTCCGCCAATGCGGCTCATCTGACCATGTCCCTATGTCCTCCAGTTCGGCTCGTCCCCGGTGCTACTCGAGGAGGCCTGGGAGGGCAGCTACAGTGAGGAGCCCGAGTCGATGACTCCTGAGGAGGCTGACCAGCTCCTCAGCACGCGGTAAGGGCTCGGGTGACTCTGACCTCAAATACTGGCCGGCAGGGCAGCTGACTGGCGGCTGGGCTGACGTCATTCCTTGAGCTTTGAAGTTAACGTTTACGTGTTTTGAGCCTTGATATCTGATTCAGCGCAAATCAAAGTATAGTTGAGATGGGAGGGTGACCGCTTTCTTTCATTGTAGATTAGCACCTCAGTCGGCATGTGTCGCCATGCTATTGGGCGATTTAGTTGAGTGCCTCATCAAAAGTGGTAGGTGCTTCAAATCGTGTCGTATCTTCGAACGACGTTAATTTAGTTTAGTCAAATGTTTATCCTACCGTGAGCTCCTTGCAGCGGGCAGACTTAGTACGTTCGTGTACTGGTGGCAGTGCCCCAAGCCTCATTTATGATTGGCTGCACAGCTGACCACCCTGACCTTGTTTCAGGTCAAAGGAACTTCTGCTGGCAGAAGACAACCAAAAAACCACCCCCGAACACCCGGAGACTGCCACGCAGCCACCTCAGCCGCTGCAGAATGGTGTGGACGCACTCAGCCAATCACCTTCCAGAGCTGCCGAACCGAGCCAATCAACGTCCTCGAGCGAGCCAGCTGACCAATCAGCGCCCGCGGCCGAGCCGGTGCACCAATCAGAGCCGGGTCCAAGCAGCTCCCACCTGCGCTGCGAGCTGCTTGTCACCGATGAGGGGACGCTGAGCGTCATCTATGACGACAACGCGCCGCGGGTTCGCTACTTCATGGAGGTGAGGATGTGATTGTGATCCGGCTGGTGGGCTGACTGCTGTACCGCCAGACTGGCTGTGTTCGAGCACGGATCGGGTGGCAACTGGGATATTCGCGCCGGGGGATACTGTCTGAAGGCGCTTACTTGAGTGGGAAATTTTTTGAGCTAGAAGTTGGTGACCATAGACCTAGTCTGTACTCCGAGGTCTGTGTGATGACCCTCTGACCCCCCCCCCTCCCCTCCTCTCGTCTGGTCAGGTGACGGAGGAGGAGGGTGTCCATTTCCTGGAGGACGGCCACCACTGGGAGCACGGGCCGCCGCTGCCCGACCACGACGAGGACGATGTGGAGGTCGGAGACGCATGGAAGCCGCCGTCGCGACTCAGGTTCAGTCAGCAGCCCATCAAGGTATGTATTTAGCGAAGGAGGCAGGCCTGGACAAGGTGCCTCGACTGGAGGCAGGAAGGAAGGGAGAAGGGGCTATGGGGAAGGGACTGAAGTGTGTGTGTGGCGGGGGGGGGGGGCGGCGCGTGAAAAATTCGTTAAAGGCTGGAGGGAGGACTGATGGTATAGGTGTTTGGGATGGCTGTTCTGAGTTTGATTGGGTATTTTATGCAAAGCTGTGGAGTGTGGAGCCTAGTGAACCATTTAGATTATTGGACTCAGTTGTAACGAAGATTCATGTTGTTATTTCTGTCTTAATTTGTTTCATGGAAAATATGTAAGTGAAGTGCGTGGGCTGATGATTCTATTGTAAATGGCCTGTTCCCTCATATATCTCATGTCATTTCACGTATTCTGGTAACTAATTGCATGCTAAAAACTCATGCTAATGATGCCTTGTCATTATCCCACGAATTTCGACAGATTATGACTGGATCGAATGTTCCCTCATTAGCGGCCGATTACCCAATTACACAGAGTCCATCAGTCCCCACTCGCGACTGTCAGTGTGCTGTCAGTCGGTATTTGGGCCGCGGCTATCCGATGCTAACCCTCCATGACCCCGTCCCGGTCCCTGTACTCCCACAGGTATACAGCACCTACACTGCCGAGGAGTACGACCGAAAGAACGACGACGTCGACCCTGTGGCGGCGTCGGCTGAATACGAGCTCGAGCGACGTGAGTGGGAAGCGGGGCTGGTGTGGAGGCCGGGTAATCCCAACTGTCTGTGGAGGGAGGGGAAAGAAGGGGATGGTTGGACTCTCATGCGAGGGTTAGAGGTTGAAGAGCCGGAGCAAGAACGGCTGGACCATCTCAGTTGATCATTTTTCGCTCGCTCTACGATTTCATCCTCGCATTTATCGTGATGGTTTTAAGCTACCACTTCCTGACATAAATCCTCGTAACTATGCCAGGTATGCATACGCCCTAAGCTATGGTGTGTCAAATTCTTGTCTCGTCCTATATTTGACCTCAATAAATCACTGCTTGTCACCAGTCCCAACTGTTTCCCGGAATGCGGTTATGTCACCTGTTAGGAATGTGCCCCTAAGCTCGCCATACCGCTGTGGCGCTCACCCCCGCCCAACCCCTTTTCCGAACCTTCCGTGTGCTCGCTGTACGGCTCACTGAGGCACCCACCCTGGCTCTCCTCTCCCCTGAGGTCACTGTAGCGCCTACGACTGAGGCGCCCGCTCCCCGTCTTTTGTTTCGTAACAGGTGTCGAAAAGATGAACGTGTTCGCGGTGGACTTTGACAAGGGCACTGAGGGCCTGGGTCTGAGCATCATCGGCATGGGTGTGGGCGCTGACGCCGGTTTAGAGAAGCTCGGCATCTTTGTCAAAACCATCACCGAAGGAGGCGCCGCCTATCGCGACGGACGCATTGAGGTACGGAGGGATGGGGAGGGGTATAACGCATAAATGTGCGTACGAAGGGAAGGGGAGGGATATACGCATAGATGTACGGAGGGCGGGAGAGGAGGTGATATAGAGCGGATAGCGACCTATGCTGGACGCTGGTAAGGCAACGACGCATTGGTTTAGGACGTCTGGGGGAAAGGGGCGCTATTGCGTGGAAGTGAGGAGTCCGTGCGTTTTTTTTTTATTATTATTATTGGTGCAGATTTGTTGAGCTCAGCACTTACACACCAAAAACAGCACATCGAATGTATTGCATCTATTTCGTCATCGCCTTCGGTAGTTGGCGCGCCCAAATTTCAGATAATCACATCACCTTCGCGTGGACAGAGCGAGACCCGTTCAACATCTTTCTATATTGTGTGACTGCCCTTGTTGACTGGTGTCCTCTGACTGACCTCTCTGCCCGCCCTCAGGTCAACGACCAGATTATCGAGGTGGACGGCAAATCTCTGGTGGGCGTCACCCAGGCGTACGCCGCCTCCGTGCTCAGGAACGCGGCCGGACACGTGCACTTCCTGATCGGACGCGAGACCGACCCCGAGAACAGCGAGGTAAGGAGGAACAGGGGCGCCGCCAGGGCCTTTTTTAGGGGGGGGCTGTGGTGAAAGTTAGTGCGTTTTTGAGGGGTCGTTGGAAATGCCAGAACGAGTTCCGGCATGGAATGGGGTATTGGCAATGCATCCACTACACGGCAGGCGTTTATGTATTAGGAATTGCAAGGGGTAGGAGTCCAGCTCAGCTCCCTGCGACTGTGCTAAGCTTCTAGCTATGTACAGTCCGTCAGTGGAGCCAGCTGCCACTGGCCGCTGCAGCCAGGCTGAATTCGGTGTCCGAGACGGATTACGGGGGGCATTGGGGACGGCGGAACACCGGCTGAGCCCCTCGCTCGCCGGTCGTTCCCTAGAACGGCTCCGGTCCGACCACGATCCCGGCCTCCGGCGGCCGATATAACCGGCCTCATGTGTCGGCGGCGGACAGACAGCTGACCTCCTGACCTCCTGACCCCACCGAGTCCCCGGGGTCTCCCTCGTACCGTATTATGGGGTTCGCCGGCTACAAACATCACATTAAGGTCGATCTGCCGCGCCGGTACGGTGGTAAAGTCGCCCGTATTGGCGCGGTGGCCACACTCATTACTGAGTGACGATGACCGTGCGATGGCTAAAGGGAATTGACGCGACCTCGCCGCCCCGTGCCACTGCGTACCAGCGCAGATTAAACCGGAGCTCGGCTCGGGGCAATTCGCTGCTGGCGTGCTGATCGTGAGGCTGACACGGGGGTTTTATAGGGCGCTTTCATGGATGAAGGCATCCGATGCATGGTGTGGCATAGCAAGCGTTTCTAGTGGGGCTGGGACTGCCCTTCCCATGTAGCATTAGGGAATAGCTGCTATCGCAGCATGCCATAATCCGAGAGCTCTTGCATTGATATACCTAGCTGGGTAAAATCGGCCAACTATTTTCGTAGTTAGGTAACCTATGCGGTGGTAAATTCTTTTATACCAGCTGCAGATAACGTAAACTACAGGTGCTTGGTAGGATAAGTTGTGACAGTAGAGATTTGGCGTTGGTTCCGATGGAACAGATTCTAAACATTGAAGCGAAATATTTTTGGTGCAGGAGGCCTCCGGTCCCGCTCACCCTGTCTGGTCCGCCCCTGTCCCGTCTCACCTGGCTCTGACCCGGTTCCCTCCGCGGCGCAGGTGGCACAGCTGATCCGGCAGTCGCTGCAGGCGGACCGGGAACGGGAGGACCGGCAGCGGGCCCTGCAGCGCGACTACGACCAGCAGAAGCGCATGCTGGAGCAGCTGAAAGCCGGCGCGCCGGGCCGCGACCCGCCGAGTTACCAGGAGGCGACGGCGCGTGACCTGACCGGAGGCCACAGCTCGACCAGCTCGGCAGCGGCGTCAGAGGCCAGCGAGGCCACGGCGCCGGCACAGCCGCCCCCGCCGCCACCCCCACCACCGCCGCCTCCCCCGCCAGAGCAGCCGGAGTTGGAGAGTCGACTGAAGGAGGTAGGTGCCGCCCCGCCCACACAATATATTTCAGTGTTGACGCCATGTGCACGGACAATACACAGGGGGATTATAGCTCCCAGCACTGCCGGGCTAGAGATGGATATTGCTTCGGATTGCTGTGCTTTGTCTGGTCCGCCTACGCGAGGATTTTGATTGGCAGTCTGTGGACGGTTATTGGTTCATGGCTTGGGACATGCCACTCGTTCAACAGTCGTTTGTTTCAGTTCTTGTGCGATCTTATCTGCTGATGTTTTGCGCGTCTGTGAAAAGACATGTTTGATAAAGGCTTTACGGGTCGCATGCTTTGTTACTTTTGCTAGCTTATGACAGAGACCGGCAAGCCATATCCTTAGCAAAAACTTTTTGTTGAATGGCTTCCTAGAAGTTTTAGAATATTCTTCCTTACCCAATTTTATATGTTTTGCATTTAGTTGTCTCTGCAATGTCATTAAATGTGCCACCTATCTTCATTGGTCTTGCCACCACTCTCAGACATTGCCGCCAGTTTGTTATCGGTTTGTTTGGTGCGCCCCGCCTCACTCCGCGTGTAAGTTCCGTTGCATCGGTGTTGTGTGTCGCTCGATCTGTGAATTTTCGGTGTATTTCAGGCACTAGACGAGCACCTGCGGTTTCAGGCACAGATTGCCCGCCTTAACGTCAGGGTAAGAGTCTGCCATGACCATGCCTAAAAATGCCTAACAGCGCTGACTAACGCCTGACTAATGACGCAAAGCCTAACAATGCTGAAAATGCTGGACTAATAACGCTAACACCCCACTAACTGCAGCGCAGTCTAACGTCTCACATGCAGCGCCAATGGACACATTTTGCTAGTTGCCGCACCAATTAACGCCTTACTAACCGATCCCTGCCGCATCCTCCGCTACCGGCAGTTCGTCGATCGACCAGCGCTAAGCCGCTTCTTCTACGATACTGTGAATAGCTGGCATGAGGTGCTGTGAATAGCGGGTAGCGTGTGCTTGGCGTTATTAGCAGAGGTATGAGTGGAGTCGCAGACTAACCCTACGGTGCAGGTGAAATAGGGATCATGCAGCAGAGTCTGACGCGCCCTGGCGTGTGGCAACCTGCCGTGCTGGGCGAAATGTACTACCTACCTTCATAGATCACTGATCAGTTGTGTGAAGACGCCGTGCGACGCATCCTATGGTGGAGGGGTTCGGTCACTTGGCTCTACTGCGCTGTTTGTGTAGTACGCGTAACGTCATGCTAGCACTGACGAATAAATGATGCTGTTCGCACCATTTGCTACGGACATAGTCAATATTGGTGTTACATGTCGATGTTGGCGTGAGTTGTTATTGAACCTCTTTTTCAACTCAATACTATCCAATACCGCTCGTCACTTCCCGTAGGTCAGTGTACTGGAGTCGTCCTTGTTCCGTAGATAGGTGATATCGAATCCCACGTCATCACCCAAATCAGATAGTCCTCCTTGCTCCCCCCCCCCCCCGTCAGATCAGTGAGGTAGTCGGGGTAGTCCTTGTCCTCACAGACCAGTGGGCTATTCCCTTTCCGTCAGATCAGTCGCAGTAAGACAGTCCTTTCTCCCTTTCCTCACAGATCAGCGAGCTGGAGTCCTCGCAGATCAGTGAGATAACCCTCTCTTCTCGTCCCCAGATCAGCGAGCTGGAGTCGTCACTAGCCGGCTCGGAGGACGACCGGCGCCAGCTGGCCGACGCCCTCTCTCAGCTGGAGCAGTACGAGCAGCGCCTGCAGAGCTCGCGGCAGGAGGCGGCCGGCTTCCAGGCGCAGCTAGCTGCCCAGCGCGTGCAGCTTGAGACCCTCGAACGGAAGTACCAGAAGGCCAAGCGGCTGATCCGCGAGTTCCAGCGCCGCGAGGCCGGCCTGCTGTCACAGGAGGAGTACCACCAGGGCCGGGAGCGCGAGTACGACCGAGCCGTGCGCGCGCTTCACGAGCGTCTGATGGTGTTGGAGCGGCAGCTGACGGACACGCAGCGTGAGGCGGGCCTGCCGGTGCAGCTGCCCGGCCAGCCGGCCGGCCGCTGGGTGCCACCGGCGCGCCGTGTCTCGCCGCCGCCCCGCGGCCGGTCCGACCGGCTGGATACCTCGGAGCTGTCCGACACGGAGGGCTCCACCGACACGCCGCCGCCGCACCGGGTGAGTCGGAGTCGGCGGGACGGTGCAGCTTGGTCTTTGGAAAAAATAGGATTGTGTCTTTGGCAAAAATAGGATCATTTTCATTCCTGATGTAGAGTTGCGGTGTATCTTGAGCCCGCTGCCGCTGAAGCAGCGACAGCTATCAGGTCAGAGTAGGTTTGTGTGTTATAAGTAAGCACTATCTTTTGATTTGGTTGGAGTGCGCTCTTTTTCAATGTAAATTGTACAGTATCGGCATTTGACCTGCTTTATTCACTTCCTGCTCAAGACTCCCGCCCACAGCCAGCTCTTTCCATTGTCCTTTTTTCAGTCTGCTCTCTCCCATTACCCGTTGCCCCCGCGGGTCCGGAGATGTTCCCCTATAGTAAAGTAATTTTGTGTTTCCCTCTCTCTAACGCGCCTTCCCTTTTCCCTCGCCAGGCGACAGAGGAGTTGGACCGCGCCGTGCCGCCGCACGAGCTGCTGGACAACTCTGCGCACCGGTCGCGCGCCGAGCTGGCCACGCGCGGCGCGCTCTCACAGCGGCAGCCGCCTAATCTCCGGCGCAACGTCAGCTCCGGCAGTATGGTGAGACAGGTGTTTGTGTAGCTGCCGGAGCCAGAGTCTGCTGCGCCGGGCGCCGGCCGGCCGCGTTTTGTTTGTACCGCTGTATACTTTGTCTGTGTGGTCTTTCGTTGTAGTGCCGTAGCGCCGTGCGCAGGATGGCCGCCGCAGAGGCCGCCCCTACAATATTGTCGACACTGCATACTCATCTCTGTTCATGCATGGCTGTTGATACTGAGACTGAGACTGAGACTGAGAGCAATGACTAATAAACCGAGCTAACTGGACCAGAGCCGACGCGAGTCCCGTGTGTTATTTGACGTCTGTCTGCACGGAGAACGGCGGCCCGGGGCGGCAGTGTCGCCACACCGCGTCCAGTCGCATGGAGTCTGGCGGCGCGGGTCCACGGGGCACCTGTCCGTCCATTAATTCACCGAGCGGTCGCCGCTGGCGCCGTCTGGTGTCCCACCAGGGTCTCTGTCCTGCTCCCACCGCCGACCCTGTAAAGCTGTATTACCAACCCATGTCCTCCACTGACCCTCATGCCTCCTATCACCAGCCCTGTACAGTCGTTCCATCACTTAGTCCTCTGTCCCACTCCCGTCACCGACCCTGTACAGTTTTTCCGTTACTTAGTCCTCTATCCTAGCTCCCGCCGTGACCCTGTACAGTTGTCTTGTCCCTTAGTCCTTCGTCTCCGACGTTCCCACCTTCGACCTTGTGCAGTTATCCCGCCCCTCAGTCCCCCGCTGCCCGTCATGTCCCGACCTGTGATGCTGCAGTATACAGTTCCTCGTTCCTGTCTGTCCGACTCGCACGCACGCCCCATGAAGGCGCCGTCGGTAGAGCTCGTAGCTGCTGTGCTGCCCGGCCGCCAGCCGACCCTGTATTTGTAGTAGTAGAGCTGCGTGCCGGTTTTTGATCGGATCTCTGCCCTGCTTTTATTCTCTCTTTCGCAGTTCAGCTCCGTTTTTAGCCTTTTTGCTTCGTCGGTTTGATGCGTTTGATGATGCCTTAGAAAGGCTGTCATTTTGCTTCTTCTGGTTTTTAGACGTTTGTATTGAATGTTTACAAAAAAGGGGAAAAAATGTTGTTGCTGCCTTTATAAGAAATATTAGTGCCCGGAAACTATGAAGCTAACTTGTGCGTCAAAAGATCCAATCAACAATACCATAGTGGTCTTACGTTGTTGGCTAGATCCGTATGGGTCCTGATCGGTAATTTATACTTTGACTTGTTCTTAGCATGAATGCTCAGCAGTTTTCATGTCAACTGCTAAATGATTGCTGGATCGAAAATTTTGCTGTTCAAAAACATTAAATTAATATAATCTGAAAACATAAAATTACATGTTGCGACTAACAACAGCCTGCCGCCCCGATCTTCCCTACAAAATAGCCATTGCGATAACTCAATAACATAATCAGAAAAGTGAAATTCCAGTCAAAAAAAAAAGATAAGCACTCAAAGTCCGATCATTGGCTTCCAGCATTCATTCACCTCCATCCCATTATTTATACACGAACACTAAGTACATGTAGTATCGACACAACGATGCGGTAACACCAAGTTTCATCACGAAGATTGTCTTGAAAACTACGTCACCTCCAGATCACATTATAGGTGAGCAAATAATAGTTATTTAGTGTCGGGGACGATCATAAGACGGATTGATTAGTTGATTACATTTGGGCTGGGAACCGTATATGCAATGGTTGAATGTGGGCATTCCCAGTGACGACTCAGTGGGAGCAAGCTATTGCAGCTTTCTCTTGGCGATGGGTTGGTAGCTATCAAGGAAAGGGGTCGTATCATGGGGATATCTTGGCTTTCAATGGGTCGAGCTGAAGCCGTGAGGGGAGCTACCTTCACTGTCAATGGAGCCGTGAGAGGGTGATAGAATCATTTGAGTCGTTAGAGCTGGACGGATACTGTAGGCGAGCTGTGAGAACTGAAGAGGGCCAGAGCAGCTCTCGGCGAGGTGGGGAGGGTGGGGACTGCACCGCTCGACCTATCGGTGTTTAACTTTATCCCCCGCCCTCGGCGGCCGCAGGACCTCAGCTGTGACGAGACGGGCGACTCGGAGAGCACCACGGACGGGCTGGGACCGGGCCCGGCGCGCCGCGCCGCCCGCCAGCCGCCCCCTCCTCCGCCTCGAGACGTCAGTCTGCCCGACGGCAGCCCCATGTGAGCGCAGCCACGGCGGTGCCCGGGGATGATCACTTTGTAGGTGGAGGGGCTCAGCAGTGACTGTGTGTGTGATCATAAAAACCTTCACATGTTCTATGACTTGCTTTTCTGTACCTGAGCTTTTGTCAGGCCGTGATGAATGATTGGAGATAATAATCAGCCAAAAGTTTGAAGTCTACGATAGCTCGGCATTGTCGCTGACTGTTTCTCTCACTCCTCCATAGTTGTTCCAGTATATTCATCGATAGAGTTGAGTGCCCATTTTGGGTTTCATTTTCGTCTTTACTTTCTTATTTTTGCTGAGTGCGCGATTTTGGCTTTCCAGATCCAACACGGAGAATCAACGGCCGAAACAGCCGCCAGTCTCAGCGCCACCGCATAGGAACTCTGCCAACTACGAGTGTCAGCAGCCGGCGCCAGGTGGCAGGCCGGCGATCCCGTACCGAGATCCGCCACCGGTGCGCGCGTCGGGCAGCCAGCGGGGCTCCGGCGGTGTTCCGCAGAGATCGTCTTCCGGTCAGCTTCCAGTCAGCCCCCGGTCGTCGGGCCACTACAGCCAGCGCTCGCAGCTCAACGAACAACTGAGGAGCCTGCTCGCAGACAGGTTAGTAGCACGACTTACGTGGATCTCCGGTTATCCGATCTTAGGGTTGATGTCGCTGGTCGGTCTGTTTTACATTATGTGTTGCATGCATATCGGAAGTTGCAAGGAACTCGAATACGATTTCTAAGTGGTTTCATAGGACTCATGTTCATAAATCTAAATGTCAGCCATCTGCTGATTTTCTTTCGCTTCCTCGGCCGTGTGGCGATAAGAATCCTACCGTGGGACTGACGGTACTGTGTCCTTTCCGCAGGGAAGAAGACGATTCCTCCGAGTGCTGGCCGTCAGCCGGGGAGGAACGGCCACCGAGACCAGCCTCCTCTGACCCCGTGTGGCGCCTGGGACACACCGACCGACATGCCGACAGACAGGGGGAGCGTCAGGCCGAGTGGCAGGCCGACAGACAAGCCGAGTGGCAGGCAGACAGACAAGCGGAGCGGCAGGCAGAGTGGCAAGCAGTGTCGCCCCGCGCTCTGGGCGGCCCCGGCCGACTGCCGGCGCTGGACGCCGGCACCGACAGCTGCTTTCCGTGCTCGGCGGTGGCGAGAGGTGAGAACTAGATCCTGCCCTTTCCCCGTGCTATCACACGATGTCAGCGGCCACCGATATCCTTAAAGGAAGCCGGGTGGCCGACTCGATCATGTGGACTCGCTAAGAGATCCCGACATCGTCAGCTGGAAACTGTGTATTGGGCTTTCTTTATTGATGTAGTTTTTCGTAATTGAGGCTGGCTTGCAGGCAAGAGAACCGACTTGTTACTAAGAACATTTTGGGCCCGATTTTGTGTCGCTTGCACAATATAAATGACTTATGCTGATTCATCGGCAGGCACTGCGCCGGGCCGGCACACGCCGTCCTACTTCCCCGGCGAGGGGTGCGGTACCGCCGAGCCGCCGGCCCGTCTGACGCCGAGCTCGGTTAGACCGCCGCTCGGCTCTCTGGAGAGACTGGTGGACGGAGGCGGAGGGGGCGGAGCTGCTGCCCGGGTCGGCGCTGCCGCGGCTCCGAGGACCGTCTCACACGAACGGCTGATCGACGGGCCTCTGACGCCGCAGCGCTGCTGTCGAGGTGAGAGCCGATGGGCGCTGGCCGCTGACTGATCCCTGCTGTAGACTGTAGTGCATTGCTGTGCCATTTGCCCCGAATGCATTAGCAAGTAAAAGCGTATCAGGAAAGGACTTTCCTATTCGCTCAGCATTGTAGTTCGTCCATAATACGCATTTCATGCATCCCCGGTCATTGCTCCTCTCCCCGATCCCTATGATCCCCGCCCTGACCATTCCCATCACTCTCCCTCAGGCCCGGGCGGTGGCGCGGTATGCAGCAGTGTTCGTCAGAGCTACCCGGGCCCCGGCGGCGCGGACTGCGGCTGTGTTCCGGCTGCCGCTCTGCCCCAGTCGGCCAACCCGTACTGCTGGTCTCCGGAACAGGTAAACGTCACAACTCACAAGTCACAGGGCTGTGTGTGGGGAAGGGAGGGAGGCCTGCTACTGAGTCGTTCGGTCCGACCGAAGTGAAAGTTGATGATGGCTTGAGTATTCGTAGTTACACATCCCCCATTATAATGAGATTCTTTCATTTGACGGTAGCGTGAGTACTTTGTTGGCTGCGACGATGCGTTCTGACTCGATCGGCTATCTCCCTCTCCCCTCGTTCTCTCTCCTTCTCCCCTCTTTCTCTCTCCCTCTCCCCTCTCTCTCTCTTCCTCCCTCTCTCTTTTTCTCTCTTCCTCCCTCTCTCCTTTTCTCTTTTTTTTTCTCTCTCTCTCACCGGCTCACCACTCTCTCTCACTGCTCACTGCCCCGTGTCTGCAGGTGGGCCAGTGGCTGCTGACGCTCGGCCTCGACCACCTGGTGTCGCCGTTCGTCGAGCAGCGCGTGGGCGGCCTCCAGCTGCTGCAGCTCGACTCCCGCCAGCTGCGCCAGCTCGGCTGTGACGCCGACGATAAGGCCAAGGTGGGACTATGGACGGGAGACCTCTGACGAGGGCTGAGCCACCACTAGCTGGGGATCACTCGCCGGCGAGAGGGAGGGGGCAGCCGGGAAACTACTCACCGGAGCCTGAAACCTGACATGAGTTGTATTCCTTGCAAGAGAAAAATGTGATGGAATGCTCATTGGGATCAACTCACATCTCTCGGCGATAAGCTATGTGACTTGTCTGTTCTTGCTCAGCACTGCACACTGAAATACAACTCTTTTTTGCAGGTGAAGCGGAAAGTCAAGGAGCTGAAGCTCCATGTTGAGCGTGAAAGACGGCACGCCGAGCGTGAGAAGAAAGACCGAGAGCGTATAATCCGCAAGGCGGAAAAGCTGGCAGAAAAGGCGGTCAGACGCAAGTAGTGTCCACGTTCTAAAAAGGGTTACTGTGGAACTGGACACTGCTAGTGCTAGGGCGGGATTTAGCCCGTGCCATCGGGCTACGACGTGATTCAAACAATGAACTTTCAGTGTTTTGTTTATTAGGACCATGCGCTGAGGTCGCTGTCTTGGTGGGACCTTCGAGATATTTGCTGGTAGAGCATTCCCGTGTGTTCACTATTGCCATAACGCCGGACCGATGTCGACGGTCTGTACTCTCGTAGCGTGTTGTCGGCCGGGCGCTGGGCCTGGCCCGTGGCCGTGGGCGCCCTATTCATGCGCTCTATGGTCCCCGTGAACCCGTGTCTGCCGAGTGGGTTGCGCGAACGCCGACCGAATGTGGCAGCTCTTATTGTGTCTGGGTTGTGACTGTCGTTCTGACGTAATTGGCACGGGACTGGATTATACGAGAGCTTATAAGGTACGAGGCTGGTGACCGTCTTCCCATCCAGTGGGACCTACAACATCCTAGCATCCATTTACCACCCGTGCTTAACGATTTCCCATTTCCTCATGTCCCATCCAACCATCCCTTGTTGCTCATTTCCCCTTCACTTTCCCATCGCAGCCTCTCATCCACTCCTAGATCATACCGCTCAATGCTTACCTGCAACAACTCTCCATGACAGAGTAGACAATCCCGGTGGCACCTCGACGGTAATTTCACAGTAGCTGCCATGCCACAGTCGTTTCCCTGCCTGATCTCCGTCACTTGGTCAGTTTGCCGTGTCATCAGGCCGGTGGTAACCCATTTCCAAGGTTCCGAATTATGATAAAACACTTGTTGACCTGCAAGCATTCTTCAGTTGGCGTCCTGTCTAATCGGTACAGTTGGAGAGACGCCCGGACCACCAGAGACTTCTCATTTCCCGATCTGTGGTTATCTATATTATGCCGTGTCTGTGTTTTGTTACTTTTGTGGAGGTGTGGCCCAGGCTTGTTGCTGGTCAGGCCGCTCCTTTTTTACGGACGACCCGCCCCGAAGACGCCCTGATATTTGTGATCCAACTAGATGGAAGTTGAGAGAGAACTAATAAAAACCTGTCCCAGGAGATGAGCTGACTGTCTGCTATGTAGAATGAGCTGACTGTCTGCTATGTAGAATATCGTTTCCTGCTATGGGGATCGATCCGTCCCTAATGATAACTTCGGTTGGGAACCGTTTTCTGTTCACAACAGATTAAGTGCGAGCATACCGTGTATCTGCCGTCTGATGTGACTTTCGTTTGGCAACTATCGAAGGCCATGCGTATTCGCGAGAGTTTTCCTCTCACGGGTTCTCGAATCTCCGTGTATCGGGCTTGAGCTTGGCAGGTTTTGGCCGCTGGGGATAGGTGGCGCTGTGGTCGGTCCCGTCACCGAGACTCCCCCCGTCCTTGGAAATGGACTGGTCCCGTGCGGGCGACGTGGGCTGCCGGCCGGCGGCGGCCCGCGCCGCCATTCTCGGTGTTGGGATCAGGGCACTAAAGGTTGGGACCATGGCCGGCGCGGGCGGGCCGGCGACGGTACTCGCCGAAATTCTGGACATCAACGCTGCGGGGACCAAACGGCTCACTGTCAATGGACACCTCTTCCGACGAAGTAAGGGTAAGTGGTCGCGGATATGAATTATTATTTGTCTTTATCAGCTCATAACGACGTACAAGTTTGTTGGGCTTTATCTTTCAAATAATGACAAAGTCATCGAAGAAGGCCCGTGACTCCTTTGAGGTTGCTGTGTTGAAACATTGACATCCACTTAAGTGTAGCATTGTGCGGCGTGAGAGTCCAAGTCCGGTGTATGTCCTACCTAGGTATATGAGTGATCTCTCTACCCCGGATCACGTGTGCCGGCAGCGAGCGAGGGCGCCGAGTACTGGAGCTGCCTAGAGCGTCACTGTCCGATGACGGCCGTGACGCGTGACGGCCTGGTGACGCTCCTGGGCGGGGTGCCGGCCCGTGGTCACGCCCACCCGCCGGCCACGCCCCAGCAGCAGCTGGCGCAGGCGCTCACCGCCAGCCTGCTGCGGCGCGTCAGGTCAGTGTGGCAGCTCTGGTCAGAATACTTCGACCACTCTAGCTCAGGTCAGTCAGGTCAGGCGGGCAGCTCAAGTCAGCTGGGTTAGTGGACAGCTTTATGTCAGGTCATAATTGGGTCAGTCAAGCAGCTCTAGCTAAAGTCAATCGGGCCAGTGATCTTGTCAATAGTGCCACTTCAGCTAATGTCAGTCGGCCAGCTCTAGCCAGGTCTGAGGTCAGTCAGGGCAGGCCTTACCCTGCGATAACTGGTCACTCTGTTGTGCCAACAGGACGAACCTGCGGACGCCGGTGCCGGCGCTGTTCCAGCAGGAACTGGACTCTCTGATGGCCTCAATCACGAGCGCGCTGCCGTCCTACGAGACGGTACGCTCCCGTCTGTACCGCGCTCGCCAGGCGGCCGCTGGAGACCAGCCCGAGTCGCCACCGGCAGCCGACACCGCCGACCGTGCCGCAGCCTGTGCTGTATCGGCGCCAGATGGCACTAACATCAACTACAGCGAAGCAGATGGTCAAGGGTCGGCAAGGACTTCCATAGATGCTGACCTGAACACGGGAGATGTGACGGAGGGTGTATCACCACGACCGGATGATGCCGTTCACTCAGAGGGCGAACGCTCTGACACGAACGGTGACCTGGTGGGCTGTACTCGGTCCACTGACACCCCAGCTGGAGAGACCCAAACCAGCAGAGGATCGGCGCGAACTGTCCGACAACGTGCCCGTGGGACTGAGCCGAGGCGGAAGGGAACGGGCAGCAGTCTGAAGCGGAGCGGGATGACCGCCGGGGCCGGCGCGGTGCAGACTACCGACCTGCCGCCGGCCATATTCGGCACCTCCGCGCGCGGCCTGCCAACCATGCAGGTGCTCGAGTTCCAGTTCCGACGCTGGAAGGTGACTCAGAGCTCGCCACCGGTCGAGTACTGGACATGCACCGCGGACGGGTGCCGCTCGACCGCCACCACCCGCGGCCGGCGGCTCACCCGACTGCGGCAGCGGCACGCACACGAGCCACCCACCGAGGCCCGTCGGCGCGCCGCGTGTTTAGTAGAGCTGCGCCGGCGAGCGCGCCTTGAGACCACGCCGATGCCGCAGCTGTACAGACAGGAGCGGGAGCGAGCCGGCCGGCCCGACCACTTCCCTTCGCTGGCCTCGGTGCGGACTATATTGTACAGAGAGCGGCAGCAGGCGCGACGGGCGGCGAAGGCAGCGGAGGAGGCGGCTAAGGCAGCTGGATCGGCGGCTGTGACAGGCGCAGCGGGAGTTGCAACGAGAGCAGTGCCAATGCCGGGTAGTTTGGCCATGGCGCCAGCGCCGGCGGCAGCACTTCAGAGCGGACTGCACCCGAGTGTCTCCTCACATGGACCGCAGCCGAGTGTGCCCTCACATTTACCACAGCCTAGCGTGTCTTCCCACGGACCTCAACCGATTGTACCCGCACACGGACCTCAACCGATTGTACCCGCACACGTACCTCAACCGATTGTACCCGCACACTTACCTCAGCCCATCGTGCCCTCACACGGACCTCAGCCGTGTGTGAACTGGTCCTGGGCGGGGTACGGCCGACCGAGCGGCCACTGGTGACACCGCCCGCTGGCAGTGGTCTGTTGATTCGTACTGGATTCGTACTCAGCTGCCCTGTTCATGTAAAGCCACGGCCGCTGCCGGCTAGGTCAAGATCCGTGTTTGCGGAGTGCCGACAAGCGTGAATATGATAGTTATATGCACGAACAGCGCTGTGCATTATTACACAATGCTCACTTTGTAGGGGTCTCACGCATCGGAACCTGCAACCTTTTATTGGTTCCCCCCATATACAGACATTACGATAACCAAAGTTACTCTACAATGCCCGCCTGCCACCCGGGTGTATTAAACTAAGCGGCCCGTATGATTGTTCGTACACGTTCACCGTAGATCAGCCCGGCATCGGCCATTCCCCCAATGAAATATTTTGTTCACATTCCATTTACGATATATTTTAGATCCGAGGGACATTCATAAATCATACGCTCACGTGCTTGCTTACGATCACGCGCTACTCACATTTCACTCACCTACGCACACCCACACGTACATACATACCGCGCGCCGCGCCGACGAATATAATTTAGATGAGACTGTCCTGGATATAACGGGGGTGCCCACCGCTATTTGCGGCGGGTCGGAAAGCCAAATAAAATCCAGGACATATGTCGGGGACTTCCGCAGCGCCTGGGCGCTGCGGCGTTAATTTAGGGGGGATGGAAAAGATCGCTTACCGAAAGATGTTGCCCCGACGACACCGCACTGGCAAATGCCTCGAGAGACGGGCCCGCGGGTCCCAGGTGCCGGCCAGCCGCTGCCTTTCACCCGGCGGGCACGCCTTTCCCGCCGGAGGCAAACATACGGCGGACTGGCCTAACGCGCACTCTGGTTCTCCGGCCCGCCGCTCCACACACTCTCTGACGCGCTCAATTTTGCCCTTACATAATAATTCTCCCTCCCACGGACGGTGAAAAAGGGTCCCCTTACTCCCCCGGGTGAGAACCTTTCCACTATCTCATTCGCGCTTGACAATCATTACACCTACACAACACATGCGACATACATTCTACAGACATCCTACATACATTCTACAGACATCTTACATACCTACATTCTACAGACACCCGCCCCACGCCTTACATGCACGGCCGCCCTGCCCACGCTCCCGCTCATCGCCCCATTGTTCATTCCGCCTGCCACCCTCCTGCCAAGCCCTTCTCCTGCTGCCCGCATTTTTCGCAGCTCCGATCTGTTGCCAGCTCTTCCTTCCCACGCTCGCCCGTATCGCCTCGCTCTTCTGGCCCTCGACCCCCCGCCATGAACTGGTCCTTGGTTGGAGGTCGCCTGGATTGGTAGCACACGCGCGCGATGCTCAGCCGGTAGCGCACGCTACCGCCCATAGCCGGTGTTCGCGGACGGTGGACACCTTCGTGGGCGGCCGCCTCCCTGGGCGACCGCACTCTATCTCAGCGCCACCGCCGCAATCCGGGGCTTTTTGGGCGGCAGTCGGTGCCCCCGCTTGTAGGATGCGTGCTCGCGCGCCGCTAGGTGTCGTTGCGACCGTCTCCTGCCAAGCCCGCCTCAGAGTTGGACGGCTCCCGCCAGGCGTCCCGGGGTCGCGCCACCAGGTGGCGGTGGCGGCGGCGGCGGCGGCGGTTCATGGGCGCGGGTGGTGCGCCGTACCCGCCGCCTGTCACGCTGCCGCCAGCTGGGTACGCCACCGGTGGAGGGCGTCGACCCCCGGGAGCTGTCATGTGGCGCCTCTGCACGGCCGGCACCTGAAGCTGCCGCCCGACCATATGCTGCCGCGGATACTCGGGCCGCTGGTTCTGGATCGGGCGGCTGTCGACAGGTGGTTCGGCTGTATCCCAGCCCGTGCAGAGCCGGCGGGGCCGTCAGGTCGGCCGGCCCGGCCGCCGTCACACACTGTACCGCCGCGGCCATTGGCACCGCGGTTTCCAGTGGGGCGGCCGCAAGCTGCTGACCGGCGCGGTGGTGAGACGGGCCGAGCTCCGCCGCCCGCCGTACTGCCGGGGGCTGGACGGGACGGCTGGCGGATCGCGCGGCCTGATGGCCGTATGAGCGCCGCCGCTCCCGTCCTGCCGCGGGCGTTATCGTCGCTGGAGGCGGGCGGGCGGAGGTCCGTGGGCGAGTGCCGCCGCCCCGAGCTGGCGCGGCAGTAGTAGCCGCGGGATCGGCGCGGGGCAGCGGGCATTTTGGGCAGCGAGATGGGCGGTAGAGCGTCGTCCCTCCCGCCGCGGCTCTTGAATGCTGCGGCGGACCGGGAGGCGAGGTGAACGGCCGGAACGGCGAGGTCAGCAGCCGAGCGCAGCCGCCCGTACCGCCGCGGCTCTTGAGTGCCGCGGCTTCCGGGCAGCCGCGCAGACGGCTGGAGCGGCGGGGTCGGCAGCCGAGCGCAGCCGCCCGTACCACCGCGGCTCTTGGGCGCCGCGGCTTCCGGGCAGCCGGGCAGACGGCTGGAGCGGCGGGGTCGGCAGCCGCGCGCCCACCGCCCCCGACTTGCTGCGGCAGTAGTCGCCGCCGGGAGCGGCGGGGCGGCTGGCGTGCGGTGCGGCGAGTTGGAGAGCGGATCAGCGCCATCGCCCGGCCCGTACGGCCGAGGTCTTGGTCGCCGCTGGCTCCTGGTCGGCGGCCGGCGGACCGGGCGACATGCCTGTGGGAGAGCAGGGGCTTTCCCTCCCCTCAATCATTCTGGCCCGTACATAACACACATACACACATCGCGACACTCTGCGGCATACATTTTTCTGAATCATTAACACTTCCAGCCTCGGTTCACATGAAATCTGACTATATGTAATCATCTTATTACGCTTCATCTGTTACGCATTTACTATGGGGAAAGGTTGTGACCGTTCGATAATTTTGAATGGGAATGTGGATTTTTATTAATGACAGCGAAACCTCGAACCAGTCCGCCACCATTTAGAAAACTAGTTAACCACAGTTGTAACCACAGGCAGGCCTAACCCAAAGCCGGGCCGACATCCACCACTCACGTTAGCTGGTGGTCTCACACATCCAGCATTCTCCGCTCTCATTCGTCTGTTTCTCTCCTCCTCGCTCTCTCTCCTCTCTCCTCTCTCTCTCTCCTCTCTCTCTCATCCTCTCGTCTCCTCTCTCTCTCTCTCCCCTCTCCTCGTCTCTCTCTCCCTCTTCTCCCTCTCTCCTCTCTCTTCTCTCTCTCTCTCTCTCTCCTCCTCTCTCTCTCTCTCTCTCTCTCTCTCTCTCTCTCTCTCTCTCTCTCTCTCTCTCTCTCGCCTCTCTCTCTCTCCCTCTCTCTCTCTCTCTCTGTCTCTCTATTCTCTATCGCTTACTCTCTCTGTTCAGCCTTCGTCTCTGTCTCTGTCTTTGTCTCCGTCTCTGTCTCTGTCTCAGTCTCAATATCAGTCTCAGACCCTGCTCTTTCCACTCACAATCCGTCATCCCTCCTCCTCACCAAGTCCATAACCCTTTCCCGCGTGCGCCCCAAACATACCTCAGTAATTGGCCGCGAACACGTGAGGTGAGCAAATGCGTCGTGATCCTCGGACCCTGATGTTCAGCGGATAGGGTATTCCGCGCCTGACTGGCACTTGCTCGGTCACGTGTTCGGGGCCAACATTTCCATGCGCTCGCTCGCTCAGTCGTCTGCTGTCATCTGATCGCTCCTTATTCCGTCACGTCTCCTTTCCTCCGCCGCATCGTCCGTCGTCTTTCTCCCTCGTCATTTAAACTCCCCTCCCCAGTCCCCCGGTTATACTCCCGAACCCCGGTCATTGTCCCCGTCCCACACCCGCGCAAACACATTCCCTCCCCAGCCCGAGACCCATCCCTCCCCAGTACCCGGACAAACACAATCAAATACCTGCCTTGCCCTCCCCAGCCCCGTCCCTCCCCACGACCCACGGCGCGGCGGCCGCCCACTCCTCGGACGTCGCGGCCGAAACGCCGGCGCGATGCGCCGGCGCGCCCCTCTCTCCTCCTCTCTTTTTCCGACGACACATCGTCGGACCCCGCTCGTCGACCGCGCAATTCCATTGCGCGATTCTCTTACCGCGCGAGTACCTACCTCCTTTCGCGCTCATTCTGCCTAGCTCACGCGACGCCTTCCGCGCGATGCCTTTCGCACGTCTCCTCGTCGCGCGACTCCTATCTTCTCGCGCAACCTTCTTTCACTCTCACGCGCGATTCATTTCGCGCGCCTCTCTCTCGCGTTCATCGCACGACTCTATCTCGCGCGACTCTCTATCTCGCACGACTCTCTCGTGCGACTCTCTCTCTCTCTTTCTCGCGCGACTCTGTCTCGCGCGACTCTCTCGCACGACTCTCTCGTGCGACCCTCTCTTTCTCTTTCTCTTTCTCTCGCGCGCGATCCCTCGTCGCGCGTCTCTCTAGCGCGCGATTCCTGATCGCACGTTCCTCTTTGTCTCTCGCGGCGCGCGGCGCATTCTAATTCTACATTCACATGCCTACACCTATTGATACACATCGAATTCATACCTAACACATCACCCTACTTCCACTACCATTGATTCGCACTCAACATACCACTCAAAATCGTTCACTCCTCGGCAGTCAGCGTCCCCTTGCGCCATCCTCCCCTCGGGGAGAATAGCCAATGGCAGCACTGCCACGCTGCCTCACAGATCAGGGGCGAGGTGCCTCCCTCACTCCCAGCACCTTAGAGGCCACCCCTCCGGCGGGTGATCAGCCGAACGGCGGAGGGGAGGGCTGTTTTGCCACTGGGTTGAGCCAGGGACCCGCCCGGATCCCAGGCGGCCAGCGCTGAGTTTTCATTCACTCCCGTGTTCGTGCGCGAAAGGATCGGAATAATATAAATTAGCGGTTGAAATTCAAAAGGGCGTCAAACTCCTCCGGCAAAAGTTATCAATCTGAACGAAAACTTCCCCTAATCATTTTCCCCCAACAGTTAAATTGCCTTAGTCATCTCCATCCAATGCATACGGTTATATGGATATATTTGCTCGCGTCGCAGAGCGCTCCTAAATAAACGTACGCAAATATAAGTCGAACCGGCTGTGGCCCGTCCAGCCTTCAAATCTCCCCTCTACCGGCTGGCCAGCCGAACGGCGGAGGGTGGACTTGTTTTGATGGTGGTGGGCCAGTGACCCGGCCGAGCTCCCACAGGCCGGTGAAAGCACCCTTAGCCCCTCGCTCAGGTGCGCAGCCCAGTCGGCCAACTTG